ACACAGAAAAGCTACAAGTCAGACAGGTTACGTTCACACAGTTAAGTTACCTGATGAGTTTGCCATTGTTTTCCTATATCAACACTTCTTTGTTCTCGAAAAAGCGGGGGGACTGAGAACACCACACCCCACATACCGATAGGTGCACCACGTGACCCCTGTTCAAGAACTACTAAGGGCCTGACCGTTTAACAATTTTACATTTTATCTTAATATTGACTAAGGATTGCATAAAAACAGTAACAGTAACTGTAATATATCGATTGGCAGACAGTGATTCCAACCAAGGACCACAGATTTCTAGACAAACAATCTACTAACTAAATATCTTTATAAAAACGAGGAAAAAATGGGATCCTCATCCGATTCGATACCACTGATACCTACACACTTTAAAATAAAATAAAATTCTTACCTGTCATCGTCTTTACGTCTGTACACTACTCTGGATGATTACCAGTTGTAGCTTCACACCAGTGTCAAAGTGATCATATAGGGATTTCACGGATGGATGAGAAAGGCTTTAAAGTGATGTACACAATGCCCTACTGTCATGTGTCATTGAACCAGAGCAAGTAAGGTGATAACTGGACCGATAACGTGCTGGATATAATCTAATATAATTATATATGAATCGATGCATTCTATTAAGCGTATAAAAGTTACCCAACTGCACCAGTGGTTACAGATGTAACCAGTATTGTTAGCCGGGCTACCAGTGGCGTAGCAAATCATTTTTCGGAGTGTTTGCTTACAGAGGGTCGAGCACTGCAGGATAGAGGTATGGGAGGGATAATAGCTGGAAAATGTCTACAATGCCCTAGAAGTGATCGCCCGTGTTCTCGGAGCTCGTTTATTAGCAAGAAAAACCCAACTTTTTGTATGAATGATATTAAATTTTGTACTTCACCAAGTAGTGTTTGATTTACATAAATCTTCGAGATTTGTCAATGTATATAGACATAACATAACAACACTAAACAGACAACAATTTTCATTAAGTTTTTTGGTTTGTTTCTTTCCTCTTTGATTGATACGGACGGTTCATATAAATCATATATTTTTTTTTAATAAAAATATATGATTGAAGAAACATATTCTTGAAAATTTTAGTGTATGCTTAAGCATACTAGCATACATATGTGCTACGCCACTGGTTACAGTAACAGCGAATCAACCGAGGAGTTATCATCAAATTGTGGATCATCAACACCTTCCAAACATGGCGAATAGCTTTTAGAACAATCGGTTGTGTAAGTTTTGGTGTCAGAAAGTAACCTATCACGGCGGGCCCGGATGTCAAAAATCATTTCCATTCATTTGACGTCCTTATGAGTCCCATGTAAGTTTTTGTTCGCTTGAAACGGTTGAACTGCGTCAACGGACATAGTGGCGCAATATCTTCAATTCTCTGTTTGTTTATGATTTGACTCTTCACGTCATAATTGCCAATGTTGCTGAAACTCTTAGATTCCTGTTGGTAGAGACAGAAAGAACACAAACATTCTCACGACTGATAGACAAAAGATTTATCACTAACAGTTTTGAACATCGTGTTTACATTCAGTAAATGCAATTGTAACGTCAGAAAATGTCGTTTATGACTGAACTTTTTTTCGCATTAGTCTAGTCCAGAACTACGATTCCTTAATCCTTGAAGATTGGAGTATGTTTTTATTTGAACAGGAATACTGCATTATTCTATATTTGCCTATCATTAAACGTCATAGCCTTAATAAGTTATATTAGTCTTTAAAAATGATATTTACATATTTACAAAAGATGTTTTAGAGTGGCAATTATATTAACCAAATAAATAAATAAATGTTGAATGCTCAAAAAGAAATGTTCTAGTTTGCATATTTTCAAGACCAGGGCCCGTATTCAAGAGCCGGTATCATGCTTTAGCAAGGAATTTTTGTTCAAGCCAAATTCACTGCAACTTGCATAAATCATGCAACACAATCAAAAGTTACGCATAAACAATAAAAAAATCAGCTTTTAGTATCACTGAAATTCTTCCAAATCTTTGTTAATTTTGAATTGATTGTGAATTTACCATATAAACTAAAATTGGGCTTGAGCAAACATCTGACATTTAAAATGAGAAAGGTTTCGTGAATACGATACCTAGTAAATATGTCATATTCCGGTTCCTGTTATCATGACGGACGTTGTTTAAATCGAAGAGCCAATATGCCATCTAGTATAGTTTATTTTGTTGGTCAACCTGGAGGTTAACTATACAGAGACTGAGTTTTTACCCTTTGAGACTTTCTCGCAACGATTTGTGGCAATTTGGCCGCAGAAAATACGTTTTCATACCTATTCTCTTAGTGCTATACATTATGTATTTAGCCCTATTCATACCATTGTTACCTGTGTGTTACCTGTAAAACTGAATACAGTTCTTCAAGAGGCCCATTGGGGCCCTGCATGGTACTACTACATCAGAAGACGTAATTTCAATGATTCAGAGGATGGGCAGTCGATTGGTAACAGGTTAAGGAGTAAAAGAAACACAAGTGAAAAAAATATACAAGATTTAGTTTTTTATTACTAGCATGTAAAGTGACTGGTTTAGAAAGTGAGGAGATAAAGACAGTTAGACAGAAAGTGGTAGATCTGGAAACATCAGCGGAGGCGATGGGTAACTTCTACAATGATGTGAAGTCAAGAACAGAGGCTAGTGAGCTAAAAGTAACACGACTAGACAGTGAACTAGAGGAACATCACAGATATCAGGACACTATAGAAAGTGAGCTTCATTCCCTCAGGATGGAGTGTAAAGAACTTCGCAGTGTTGTAGAAGATGTCCATTGCATTTAAATGACGAATGACTTAGTTTTCATTGGTCTGTGGGAACAATAAAACGAAAATACGGAATACAAGGTTAAGAAATTTATATGGAACGAACTTAGGTTACAGGTTACTTTAGAGTTTGGCAATGTTCACCGTTTCAGGAAACGCATTTCTGGCAGGAGTCGTCCTATAGTTGCTCCCTTCATTTATAGCACAAATCGACAAGCAGGGTTGGAAAAAGGCTACCTCCTTCGTGGTACACAGTTTTGTATAATGAGCAGTTTTCTGCAACGGTTGAAGAGCGTCGCAAACCTCTCTACCCCAAATTGAAACGATACAGATAACCAGGCTGCAGTGCAAAACTAGTTAAGGATAAGATGTACGTTAACGGCACGTTGTTAAATGGTTGTACTGAGGAATTAGACGAATAATTTGGTTTTCAAGAAAGAAAACAGACGGAATCTAGGTTAAACCGTGTTTCTAAAAGATATTCTGTGAAGAATCCGTTCATTGTATGTATTACACCGACTAATAGTAGAAACCCTAATTGGCAACGGATTTCGTTGTCTCCAATGGAAGGCACAAGACACGTCTGGTTCACACAATGTGTAGAGAATTAATCGTAAGTCTGATCCGTCTATGACTGGCCTTTCTTCAGCTTTCGAACCGGGAACATCACCTCATGTTCATTCACCACACGTCTCAGGTGTGAAACTGCGTCTAACAACCAATAAGACTTTAATAGTGAAGGCTGAAGTCTATGGGCCACGAGAGGTCAACAGGAATTCAAACATTCCCGCTCAGCAACATAACAAGCCACGCATGTCACAGTCAATCAGTTCATCTGATATACATCCTATCCCCGATTATCAACAAACGGGAACGGCCAAGTAAACACTCATAACAGAGCAGAGGAATCATATCTCTGTATCCAGTAATGTCAGTTTTAAAAGTAACATAGCACCAGGACAAGACATCGGTTCAAGATAAACCGCACTTCACAATCCATATTAGGATAGTGTGGAGGGGTTTTCATTATATTTTGGAACATATGCAGGTACATTTTTGAAAAGTTTGACACTAAAGACTTTGTAAATATTGTAAATAATTATGATATTGTTTGCTTGTATGCGTGTTAGGACGAAAAAAAGTGATGTTGAATTATTAGGTTATTCCATAGAATACACGGTAAAGCTGACGGCATTCTTATTTTTATCAGATCTTCGATTGCTTGCCATTTCCATGTTATTGAAAATATAAATAACAATATTGTGTTACTGAAAGTATCTCGTGATGCAACTAATGAAAATGTTGATTTGTATTTTTTCGCTTGTTATCAAATAAAGTAAATTAAGGTATATTGTTGTTTCATAGATGATAAGAAAGCTTTTGATTTTGTTAACAGACATGATTTGTGGTTTACACTAATTAAAGGAGGAGTAGAAGGTAACCGTTAAATATAATACGTTTTTGAGATAACGATGTAAATGTTGTGTTAAATTCAACAATGCAATGTCTAATTTCTTCGAATGCAGTGACGTTTTGTTCCAAGGCGAACTATTGTCACCGATTTTATTTTCTCTTTATGTGAATGATTGTGAGATGCATTTTTTAACTGATAACTGTCCTTCTTTAGAACTCCAAACCATTAACGTATTTCTTGTCATTACACTGTTACAACACACTCAGAAATGGAATTTAACTGTTACTTGTTGAAAAAACTTCAGTCATGATTTTTAGAAATGGTGGTAAGTTGAAGGAGAAAGAAAAATGGTTTTATGATAGTAATTCTCTAGAAAATGCTGATAGTTTGAGCTACCTTTGAATTGTAACGAAATTTAATGGTAAATATAGTATTACACAAGAGAAATTAGCTAAGTCCAAGCTAGGCTCCTGTCGTCGCCACAAAACACATGCAGTACTCAAAGAGGAGAGTACACGTGGGCACGAGATCCTGATGAAGAAACCCAATAATCAATGTTGATTCAATGAAATACATCTAACAAGCGTACACATGAACACGAATAAAGGTACGTGTATCACATTTATCTAAAAACATGTTCAGCACTACGGAATACAGATTGGTGTATTTGTGAGAAACATATCATTCTTTTCTTCTTGATATGTTCACCCTAAAAACTACAAATGAAACTAAATCACATAACGACAATTTAATGAACAACTGAAAATATATTTAGTCAATTTTCTTTACATGTTGATGATTTCATTGACTGGTCATCGCTCACTGTGGTGTTGTTTACCCCATCAGTCCCACAGTACTGACCGGTCGGTTCAGTCATCGACATTAGTCCTATGGTTTCCATATTGGATTGTCTCCATCTGGTTATCCTGGAATTTAACGCGCCGGCCTGAAACAAAGGTCACATACCACTGAGTTAATATAGTAATGGTTGATCCCAATGGCGTCGCAAATGTCCGTCGCCAGTGACCTTAATATACTACAACCGATATAACAGAAAAATTTTCTTATTTGATGTAACTGAAAGGTCTTCCTTATAGCAACATATATTGTAGAACATAATTGAAAAGGAAGACAGGATATTCTCAAAGTGTAAGCAACAAAGCTGTAATTCAAACTATAAAATATGAACAAAGAAGAGGCTAACAGGAGAATACAAGGATTAAAAAGGCGGGTGATTAGGAAGTACAAAGGCCTAGAGATATCTGCATTATCGACGACACCTCCCATGAAAATGTAGGTTTGATCACGTAATGTCATGTTAATGAAGAGAGAACCGGGGAAGTGGAGAAGAAACCACAATGAACGGTAATAAGCATTTAAAAATAAGTCAATCTTATTTTCCACCAGGTGGTACAGCATTTCCTTATGTGATAATAATAGTGACAATAAAACTTGCCATATTTTCACGGAACAGTTTATAGGTAATTATCATTGTATGTTATATCAAAGTATCTATTCCTAAAAAGAAATCTTCATTTTTCAGTTGTAATACAACTTGATATTCCCGACACTAGGTTCTATAAATAGAACGCAGAATACTATTAGGCTCACTAAAGCCCTTGAAGATATGTTACTGTACCTAGAAAGGGACACTTTGATATTTTGGCTTACATCGGGAGGTACACAAGCAATTTAAGCGAACAATTATAAACTAAAAATTATATCCAAATAAAAACCGTCGCGCGGCACATAAAGACAGCTTTGTTCTCGTGATTAATTTTATTTTCAAAATGTCCGCGTAACCATAATCAGCAGCCAGTAAAGCTGTTATACTGATTAACTGACATAAAAGTATCATGCAGTGAAAATTGGAAATTAGAACGCCTTCTTAAGAGATAGAGATTCTTCACGATCAGAAACTCGAAATGTAACTCTTATCATAGAGCTAAGCAGTACGTAGCCCGTAATGGTTCATTATACTGTAGTAGATATCGAGGTAAGCAACTGATGTAAAACATATCCACAGATCTAGAGAAGTAGACTCTGATTAAGAGTCTCAATACATTTATGTGACGTAAGGCAAACACACGGAACGAACACCGAGTGTGTCTGTGTTCCTGAACAACTAAGGACATGTATAATTCTGACTTCAAAAGACAACGCGTCGATGTTCTAGGATATAATTACCTGCTTGTAATTAAATATACATGATGTAGGGATACGATACGCGATGTAGTGTGATTATAAATGATGACGTGATATGATACATGATGTAGTAAGATGATACATGATGTAGTGAGATGATACATGATATAGTGTGATGATACATGATGTAGTGAGATGACATATGATGTAGTAAGATGATACATGAAGTAGTGGGATGCTACATGATGTAGTGAGATGCTACATGATGTAGTGAGATGACACATGCTGTAGTGAGATGGCATATGATGTAGTAAGATGATACATGATGTAGTGTGATGATACATGATGTAATGATGCTACATGATGTAATGTGATGTGATGATACATGATGTAGTAAGATGATAAATGATGTAGTAAGATGATACATGATGTAATGATGCTACATGATGTTGTGTGATGATACATGATGAAGTGTGATGATACATGATGTAGTAAGATGATGCATGATGTAATGTGATGATACATGATGTAGTAAGATAATAAATGATGTAGTAAGATGATACATGATGTAGTGAGATGATACATGATATAGTGTGATGATACATGATGTATTAAGATGATACATGTTATAGTGAGATAATACATGATGTAGTGTGATGATACATGATGTAGTGAGATGATACATGATGTAGTGAGATGCTACATGATGTAGTGAGATGACACATGCTGTAGTGAGATGGCATATGATGTAGTAAGATGATACATGATGTAGTGTGATGATACATGATGTAGTGAGATGACCTATGATGTAGTGAGATGATACATGATGTAGTGAGATGCTACATGATGTAGTGAGATGACACATGCTGTAGTGAGATGGCATATGATGTAGTAAGATGATACATGATGTAGTGTGATGATACATGATGTAGTGAGATGATACATGATGTAGTGAGATGCTACATGATGTAGTGAGATGATACATGATGTAGTGAGATGATACATGATGTAGTGAGATGATACATGATATAGTGTGATGATACATGATGTAGTGAGATGACATATGATGTAGTGAGATGATACATGATGTAGTGAGATGATATATAATGTAGTGAGATGCTACATAATGTAGTCAGATGATACATGATATAGTGTGATGATACATGATGTATTAAAATGATACATGATATAGTGAGATGATACATGATGTAGTGAGATGATACACGATGTAGTGAGATGATACATGATATAGTTTGATGATACATGAAGTAGTGTGATGATACATGATGTAGTGAGATGATACATGGTGTAGTATGATGATACATGATGTAGTAAGATGATACATGGTGTAGTTTGATGATACATGATGTAGTGAGATGATACATGATATAGTTTGATGATACATGAAGTAGTGAGATGATACATGATGTAGTGAGATGCTACATGATGTAGTGAGATGCTACATGATGTATTGAGATGACACATGATATAGTGAGATGATACATGATGTAGTGAGATGATACATGATGTAATGAGATGATACACGATGTAGTGAGATGATAGATGATATAGTGTGATGATACATGATGTAGTGAGATGACATATGATGTAGTAAGATGATACATGAAGTAGTGAGATGCTACATGATGTGGTGAGATGATACATGATATAGTTTGATGATACATGAAGTAGGGAGATGATACATGATGTATTAAAATGATACATGACGTAGTGAGATGATACATGATGTAGTGAGATGCTACATGATGTAGTGAGATGATACATGATGTAGTGAGATGACATATGATGTAGTAAGATGATACATGAAGTAGTGAGATGCTACATGATGTAGTGAGATGATACATGATATAGTTTGATGATACATGAAGTAGTGAGATGATACATGATGTATTAAAATGATACATGATGTAGTGAGATGATACATGATGTAGTGAGATGTTACATGATGTAGTGAGATGACACATGATGTAGTGAGATGATACATGATGTAGTGAGATGCTACATGATGTAGTGAGATGATACATGATGTAGTGAGATGATACATGATGTAGTGAGATGACATATGATGTAGTGAGATGCTACATTATGGAGTAATAAAACTGAAAAACAAAAAAATCCCTGCATGTCCGAATTACCTTTGAAGTATCTAGTATATTCATCAACGCTCCACAGAGCACCCCAATGGACGACATCATCACCAACATAAGGAACAAATGGTTGTAACCGTCCAGTTCGACTTCTACGTCCGTCCTACATGTATAGGAATCAACAGTGGTACGTTACATTAGTTAACGCATTGGATGTATTAGTTAAACGGGTCAGTTAAACAGCTACAATATTGATCATACCTCCATCCAAGTGCTGATAAAGTTCTTTACAATGCGAACTGCTATTTCACTGAGAGATCAAAATTACATCATAATGATGATGAGATAGAAAATACATGATAATATTATGAATCATTTCATCTTCTTTACAATTTATTCCGGCAGAAGATACGTCGCAATAAAACAGCTAAAGTTTCTTTGACATTAAGTTCATTAACCAATCAGCAAATGATTTCAAGTTTACGTTTTTTGTCTCTGCAGTACATATCCCGATACAACAAAGGTCAGCGCTGTAACTGTGTTCCTCACTAGGTACATCAGTCCTCCAAGAGTTCCTATGTATGAGGCGGGACAGAGGTCCACGAGCACCTGCCATAACAATACCTACAAACAACATGATTACATTAAAGTAGAACATTTAAACAGTAGACTCATATTGCTACTGACAGCAAAACATCAATACTTCGGTTTGGAAGTTTTAATCAAGCATTTCCTTTTTTTATGTGAACTGTTCCCCAACACACTCATTTTACAAAGCCAGCCAAACAATTACGACTTTCGACGAGGAAGCTACTTTTGATGTCAGGGTTACGTCAATTTAAAACGATTGGTTCATGTTAACAGTCATATGTCATTTGGACATAATATACCCTATCAGCTATTATGTAAACGGGCGATTGATTTATTTTCAAATGGTTCTGAGGAATACTTATGAACGATACTATTCCAACATTTCCCCCCTCTGAAAAATAACCATTTTGAACATCAGATATTTGTAAAGTCTTTCCTTTGCATTAATCAAATGTCCCAAGCAGACTTTCAGCAGGAAAGATTTCTTTTTATAGAATAAACTGATAGGAACTTCTGCGTTCCAATACATATATATATATTATATAGTCATTTAAGTTACGCTGCTTCAACAATTAAGATAATGATGTCACACCAAGTCGTTCTTAAGGTAAACTTATATGCTTCACAGTGATATTGATTCGAGTGTGAGGCATTAGAGTAAACGATATTACAAATTGTACCCCTATCATTCACTTTGATTGGTCACATGATATTTACAGATGTTTCCATGTAAAATAAGCCGAGAGCCGAAAAAAGTAGCATATAATCCACAAAATTAACTGTTTAGATTTAATAACCGTTACCGTTTTTTGCATATTTAGTACGCGTGTCAAAAACTACTGCGTTTAATAAATATCTGATTATTACATTCTCTTTCGTAAAATAGTAAATCGTGGTTTTCACTAAATAATTTAAAATGAAGCTATTGTTCTTTTTTTCATTAGGAAATATAACTACAAGGAAGGAACTGTTTGTATTTGATGATACATGTATTCTGGATACATAACATGTTATGGATATTCGATTGTTGGTCAGTCGATATAAAGTGTCCTTATATATTTGAAGATATTGTTAAGTTTCCCAACATCTTTGGCAACGTTGAGATGATTTAATTAATGACTGGGGGTCAAAAGGACAAAAAGGGGAGGTTTGTTATTTTCAAGTAAAATATATCTGCCATTTTTTAATTCAGTGCACGCAGAGAACGTAGAATTGAGAAGAGCGGCTACAACAAAGACTATATCGCAGTTCACTACCAATGCAAACTCACAGTGAGTATTCCTTCACCTATCCCGTCTGCCAAGGCAATGGTGATAATATTGAAATCAGGACAGAATCCAAGTATGGCATAGAATGTCAGCATCCACGATTGAAATAAAGTAGTCATAATTCCGTCACAGTCGATCTTCGCCTGCAATCAAAGGTAAGTACCGGATTTAATGGCACGCCAATGACGTCGGTACATCATCGTTTTCGAGGTTTTATCCCGACAAAAATAGTTCCTTGCTTACAACTTGTTATATGGACGAACAACATAAAAACACTATGACAAAAGCCAACATGTGAAAGAGTAACGTCGTTTTACTTGGGGAATGGGAGCCCTCTTGAAGTAGACTGTGCAACAACATTTAATGTTTTTGTGAAAGCAGTAAAGAACCCCTCATATCGTAGTCCTGGAGTAGGGAGATGATATGTATAATTCATATAAATGAAATTGGCCTGAACGCATTTGAACATTAACCAACGAAATATGAATTCATATTAAGACTTTATCAACACACGATATGACATCTGAAGGGAAATAGTAGAAACCAGGTCAACAAAAAAATGTTCCTGACTTTCGAAAATATAAACATAAAATGGACAGGTAACCGTGGTCTGCAATAAATGATGACTTTGTCTTGGTGTACTCTGTTCAATTAAGAAACTGGTGTCGGTCACCAACGGCACAGTTAAGACTGTATTAAATAACGGCATATACTGGAAGCGTTACTTACAAATTGTACCGTGATCAATATCATATTAACCGACCTATCTCGAAAAAACATTATCATCAGAGGTTTTTAAAAATTTGAACCAGGGTATTCACAAAAGGTTTATTATAGTAAGTGGATGAGATGAGTGGTAATGTCACTGTTGATACCTACCAGTGGGAAACATACAACAGAACTCAGTAAGACACCGAACGGGGATATACCAGTAATTTGGCTTGCCTCTGTCATCGTATAACTATGTCGTAACTTCAAAAAGTCTCTGTAATGAATAATGATAAAACAATGAAATACATTTTAGTATCAATTTCGTATTAGAAATTGTGTTTTTTCTGCCTTTGCCAAATCTCAATGCACGCGTTCACGTATTTAAATGGTGAGTATGTATAACAGTAACCGCCTGATAAAAAAAAAACTTTTTTATGTTGGTGATATTATGTCTAAACTGAACGTTTATAAGTAAGTGATGTACACTTTTAACACACATCAGCAAGAAGGAAATTGTACCTATAAATCATTGATAATGACGATTGGTGGAAAACTTAATTAAGGGTATTGAATTTGTTTATATTTTTTTCTTACGGTAAATTTGCCTGTTTAACCAGCCAACAGGCAGCTGGGAACCCCATAGACATTATAAACAACCAGTACGATCCCGGCAGCGCCCGCAATTCTCTCAGTGTCTGCAAGGAATAATACCAATAATAAATGTGTGATTTACAACACATTTCTTGTAAACTAGTTCCATATTTCACCCAAAACGAGGAAATTTCTAAATCGATTTGTTTGGTTGGTTTGGTTTAATATTGTTTAACGTCCTACCAACAGTTATGGGATATTTAATGACACCTTCCCTGTTTGCAAGATGCATGCGTGTAGTGTTTGCATGTGTGTTTTGGGAGGCTGCGATATGTTTGTGTTTGTTTCCTTGTGATAGCACGGAACTGATGATTAATCGGGTAACTAGTGTAATCCAACAGTCTGAATCGGTTGTCTTACTGCTAAAGACGGGATAAGTATATTAATCTTTATCTCTATAACAAAAATTGATTACGAGGTATTTGCAATCAGGATGCTTGTGTTGATGTGTACAAGTTTTTATTGTAGTGGTGATTGTTACGGTATAGATGTACATTTATAAAACAAAAACTATCAGATATGTGATACCTGAATACACGTTATGGACATTGAGGTTTACACTACCTGGACAATAAATGTTGCTTACCATTATCTTGTTGTTTTGATAGTCTACTGCTACCTGAGAAGTATTTCGTTGAAGAAGAAACGCTAAAACAATTGCAAACATCACTCCAATTCCACAGGCAACAGCGGCTGTTATAAAGAGAATAAACTACAAAAACAAAGTAACATAATCGTATATGTGGTTAAACATTGAAAGTTGAGTATAACTTTGACATGAAAAACATGAAAAAAGCGATGCGTAAACAAAGCCATAATTCTAACTTAAAATGTGAAGGTAAAATATGAACATAGAAAAGATTTACATGGAAACCATCGTAAAAGTACAAAAAGATGAACCCAGGAAATCCAATTGAGTACGGACAGTCTGTACCATCGACAACACCTATTATCTAAAGTAGAAGATAAACCTAGGAAATAAAATTGGGTAAGGATAGTTTGCATCATCAACAGCATCTGCTATCTAAGGTAAAACTTAGAGGGATGCAACGTTATCATTGCGAGAATCGGTTAGTGACAAGGAAACAGTGCACACTAATTAGCATAATAAGAGCACAATGAAACAAAAAATTAATCTTCATATAACACGGATATAGGCATTTCCCCGATTAGATCAAGTTGGCGACTATGACTTGCCTATAGTCTTTATCGACATGAATCTTTAGAAACCTTGTGTTGTACATGTAAGTGTGTCCGTCAGGAGTCGACATCTATGGCAGACATCATTATATTTCGAGCAAACTCTTGAATATCGAATGTTCAATATATTCTTGCTATTTATAGCTGTAAAATCGCATGTTTTGTCCATCTACTATCCTGGTATTAACAGCAAAAACATTTTTTGATTTTGTTAACCCGAGTGTTAGTCACATTTTGTGGGATCGACGTGTAGTTCAGTTCAAAACCTGATTTTTTAATTTCGTGTGTATGGTAAAACATTGTTTACCTCAGGGTTTTAAGGGGCTTCTTGCATAGTTACACTTTCGAACTTGAAATTTTGACAAAGATACTCCGCAAAAACTTCAAAACGCACACACTAATAGGAAATGATATATCCATCAATAGAGTCGCCATACCTTAGGGAGCTGAATAATAGGTCTAATACTGTTGTTACATTACGTAGTCATGTGGTGGACCATCCACCATATATTATGGTAATCTTACCTAGCCATACGGAAGGTATGAACCCTACAGTCGTGGCGACGTAAGGCGTAACATATAGGCTCAATCCCTGGCCGCAATATCCCAATGAACTGAACATCAGGGCGATAAACGTGGCTTCCGGAAAACAATGGGAGATCACTCTGGTCTGTACAACTGACGATCAAAATACAAAAAACAAAGACAATAAAATGATCATAAATTAATAACAATGTTAAAAAATCAAAGCAACCTTTAAAGGTAGGCTTTCTGTTTACATAGACATCACAGGATACAAGGTACAGGACAAATAGATGTTAATCTGATCGAATGTTAAGGGAAATGAGGAGCATGTCCAAAGATTGGGAAAAGCAGACACTGCGAGATTCATTTAAAATTAATTTTATTGCATCGAAGATACTATTGTATTAGGCACAGTCAGTGCCAATTAAAGCCCTTTCCAGAAGAAAATACACACATTTCAAACATTCATATATACATATATAGAAAGAGAATTATAGAGAAGATGTAATATCTGTTCAAATGAATAGGAGAGTAGTAGAATAAATTAATACATGATCACAGAAAATGATAATTAGAATATCATAGATTTCAACGGAGTACTATAGTCTAGTGTTTTGTAGAAGCTCGTCAACGTCACTGTCACTATACACAGTGTCTTCCTACCCAATTACCTTAGAGTTATATTAAGATAATTTGAAGTATATTACATGTATATATATAGTAACCAGTTAAAATCTTACAGATTTTGTAAGATTTTCCAGGACACCATTAGATTATCAATTTCTTTGGTTCAATACTAAGGGTCATATGACCATTTGTGAAGGTATTAGTATTAAAGATGATATCATTGCTCTCGTTATAATTAGATAATGCATTAAATAAAACTTGTCTTTCATCAATATATCTGGGGCAATTGAGGAAAATATCTTCAATAGTATCACTACATTCACAATTAGGGTTACCTGTAAGATGGTCATTATTTAAATCTGAGACTTCGAGAACGCTCATTCATGATCGTGTCTAGGTTACCGGACTGGTTGCTTTTAAAGCATCAAGACCTCTTACATGTCTGATGTTTCCCTTTGAGATTTGACCCCTAGCATCTACGATGAGTTCACAAAAGACGAAACAGCTTTGTGGTGCAGTTTAATGAATGTCAGGCATACTGTATCTGTTTCCAATTATTTAGGATGCAATCAACCGTGTGTATCTTTCGTTCATCTGTGTTGCAGTGAATATTACATGTATTTAACACAATCGCGTTGTTAAATTTGACATTTCTAGTAGGCATTTATATCGACTATGTATGCGAACTGTAAGCAGTTCAATGTTTAACTAAAGAAGGTATATTGTATTGAAATATACAAACCCCACTACACTGGTGTAATGTTATTGTGTTAGAATGTGCTGTGCTAACAGGTCACACAGAGATGAACACATAATATACGTACATATATTCTAGAACATGCTTATAAAAGTGTTGATAGTCACAACTCTTAGATACATACAACGTAGAGATCCGTCCCCAAACGCAAGTAGGCTATACCCAGCCACCATTAGTATGTACATAGGCGTAGTCACAGGGGCTTGTGACGTTGCTCCCACGGCGAACATCACTGACCCAATCAGTGGCAGTATGCTAAACAAAATTACAGAACCTAGAACAAACAAGACAAATCTTAAAGTACGGCGTTACTTCATGGGATTCATCGAACTGTCTAGTCAGGTCATACAGGGATCGACAAAGCTTACAGAATAGCGTTCCTTCTTCGAACTGTCTAGTCATGTCATAAAGGTATCAACAAAGCTTACAGAATAGCGTTCCTTCTTCGAACTGTCTAGTCATGTCATAAAGGTATCAACAAAGCTTACAGAATAGCGTTCCTTCATCGAACTGTCTAGTCAGGTCATACGGGTATAGACAAAGCTTACAGAACAGCGTTTCTTCATCGAACTGTCTAGTCAGGTCATACAGGTATCGACAAAGCTTACAGAATAGCGTTCCTTC